ATTAATTACTTGGTAAAATTAGTAGCTTTAACTTTTTAAACACTCGAGACGTATCCATTCACAAGTTTAAATAAGTGAAGATTTATGACTCGTAGTTTTACTGTCATCGTCACATTGATGAATCATGAGTTATTATATATATACATATATATTAGTGCAAAAACGAAACGAAATTAATTAATTATACATAAAAAAGCAGAATAAAAAAGGGTGACAATATCATATATATGGTTGAATGAAAGAGTTGGAGAGATGAGATGAGCACATGACACTCTGTGGTGGGTGTCCCAAGTTCTCTTCCCCATCTGAAAATAACAATTCAGAATTGAATAGACAGTGACTGACGATAGTGATATTCACCTTTGTTTCACTTCATCAAATATATTATTCATTGCAACACTTACTCAGTCCATGATTTTAACTTTCGTATTGGTATATAAGTTACAAGGTCTGTACAGAATCCGAGAGAGAAGACGTATTATACAAAGCTTCTAAATGGTAGGACTTGTTAGGATTTTTTATTTGGTCCAATAAAGCTCAGGTAAATTGGACTGGATTCAAATATTCTTCAAAGCCAAAACATGTCTCCAAATTCAAAAAATGTTTACAACGATGCTTATAAATTGTTTATCAATAATTAAGAATTAATTTCACAAGTTATGATTGAAATCCTTACCAACAAAACCCAACATTTGTTGGTTGTTAGAATATATATATATATATATATATATATATATTATTAGGAAAATGACAAATCAATCACACCCACATAGGTAAATGGTAAAAAAAGGACCGCAATATGAGATAATTATTTTAAAGTCCCAAAAAATTTAACTAACATTAATCTTTTAACAAAACAACAGCCATAATATGCTCAAAGGTAAATAACAATTTCAGAATAATAAATTACTTCTTTCATTAAGCCAGTGATTAAAATAATGTAGGAAATAATTGTTTCCATTTCTCACTCACTTAGTTAATGAAAAGTAGTCATTTGCCACTGAGAATGAAATGGAAGTAGCTAATTAGTCTTTTTTTTTTTTTACATTATTTTATTCACATGCTTAATGAAACTATTCATTCACTACTCTAAAAATTAAATTGTAATTTTACCTTCAAGATTTATTTATCATACTCCATAGATTAAGAGTGACGGGAATTTATTTTATGCTGACATGAATGCAGAAATAATGATGGGAACCTGAAATTATAGCTGGAACCACAAATTTTTGTGCTCAGAAAATAGCATTGAATTTGAGTGGGGGGGCTCCATTGATAGGGACTCATAAGAGGATATGTTACGTTAGAAAGATGATGACCTGGCCTATCATAATTAAGAAAAGTGAAAAAAAAAAATTGATATAATCTCAGAAGTTGGAGCTGATGGATGCATGCATGATGGCACCTGATCTGCGGAATCTTGAATGGCTTGTTTGATAGCTAGTTTCAAAATTTAACTCATCGTCAGAATCTGGAATCTCAGATTCAAAGAGGATGCACAGAATAAAGACAACAGGTACATCACTGCATGAGATCAACACTTCAATTCTGAATGCCACAACTGAAAGCATATACAGGTTTTTATATGTTTTTTAATATATACAAGGGATATAAGAACATATATAAGCTTGATGCAAAAATTATTGGGTGAGAATGATATGATGATTAGCTGGCACAGTTATAATAACTTTATTATGATTATAATGTTCAGCATAATATAATCAAAACACTTTTTTTCCATGAATTATGCAGGCTGAAAAATAAGTTAAACTTTGATTATATTTTTTTTAAACAAGTCACCTTGATTATGGTGCTTATAAGATTGTTATGTAAATCATCTTTCTAGAAAAAATTGATATTCCTTTTTTAAGTTTATAAAAAGATGGATCATTAATTATTTTCTTTTAATTTTATTCTTTCACGATTTTTTATTAATAGGCTAAGAGTTTTGTTGAAAATATTTTTAAAGATAATGCTTTAATGGAAATAGAATGATATATTTTTCTTTAAAAAAAATTACTGATCACCTTAAATCTGGTAAAAAAAATGTACAAATAATTTATATATAGGATTATTAGAGTATTTTACGTCGATCGAAACAATCCAATGTGACAACAAAAATGACCACTGTGAAAGTGTCAAACTGAATCATGAAACAATCCAATGTAACAACAAAAAATGTCTCTCTCCCACAACCTCAAAATTCCCTCCCTTTATAGAAATGATATCCCACTTGGGTTAAGTGAATATAATTAAGAAAACTATCAAGCAGGGCGGGTTTAGGGGAAAAGCACCATGTCACAAAATGTTAAAATTAACTGTGGCACCCTTATTATTATGTAATTTTGCATTTTGACCCTCACACAATTGTTTTTGGATCCGTCCTGCTATCAAGTGGGTATGACACGAATTGCTACGATACCTTAAATTAAAAAATAAGAAGAAGAAAACTGTCACATAAAACATGGGTAGACATGAACAAACAAGTTTAGTACTGTATGAATGAAACGCCTTTGTTAATTACTTGTGGGTCAGACAAAATCAAATAAATATATTCAACCCCATTTGGAAACCCAGCCATGATAAGATGACAAAGGCAACTACATATGGTTTCCTCTGTTCTACTTTAATTTAGTCGGGCTGCACCGTCCTTTATTTCAGTAATATAGACATCTAATATTTTAAATATAAAAAACATACAAACAACTGATTGATCAATTTAATTTTTTTTTTTTAAAGGCTTACATATATCGATCATATAAAACTGAAAGGAATACCGAGTAAACAATTTCGTAAGCATGAATAAATGATGCTTAACTAAGATTCCTTGCAAAATATGGACAACTGGCCAAGTTGGCTAAACAAATGTTGGCAAATAATAAATAATAATAATTAATAACTAAGAGGCTAAAACTTGAAATCCTAGCATAGGATGCTTGGTGGCTTCGATGGGTGCAAGTCGAGCCAGAGTTGGGCCCTGACCCGTGGCCCACTTCTGCAATATTCGAACTTATTAAAGTGGGCCCCAGAAGCTCTGGTCAAGGTGAAATCGGTGGCCCACTCCACCATTTCAGGCCCATTAAAATGAAACTAGCTTCCATGACACAGTAAAAGTGGCTGTTGCTTGTAGTATTATTTGGGCAAGTACATTGATGAGCACAGTTAGCTTAGCTATTTGGGTAAAACTTCCAAATTTGTAGTGGGCCCGACTAGGCCTGGCCCAGGGCCGAGCCTGTTAATTGAGATGCTTTGTTTGCTTCTTCTTTTTTTTCTGTGGGTCCCGCGTGGTCCCCACCTTGTTCTGGACCGTTCAATGTGCCTGATCTTAATGCTCCGTCATTACGTCACTTAAGTGGGATTAGTTGTTTGACCTAATTACAAGTTCGTGATTATTACGGAACTACCACTGTTACTTGCATTAGCAATTCCAGGCTATCATCATTGTTTTGATTTTGAACCTCCCCACGCCTTGAGCATTTTTATATAGCCTTTTATTTTTTTTAATAGATTTAAGTTGTCAGTGAAATTTACATTATTCTTTAACTTTGAGATAATTTCAACACAGATAATATGAAATTCACTAGTATATGTGTTTCCCTAATTAATTAAATAATCTTGACTTCATGAGCCAAAAATAAAAAAAGGCTTGACTTCTATTTAAAAAATAGTTGGTTTAATATGTGCAACTCAGTCACTCGCATACCAATGGTTCAAATCCTAGAACTTCACATTTGTAGAGGGGCAATGTTGATAAGAAAACTTGTTATGTTCTTTTAGTAAATCATTTGCTGTTTATAGCCAAAGTCTCAATTGATTCAGATAAAAATGAGTTGGGACCTTTCAGGCAAAAACTCTACGACCAAATATTACTATATTTTTCATACTCAAAATTGAAATATCTGATCAAACTAGTATGGCATACTTATTCGTTGAACTAAGCTCTTGGGGACTGAGAAGAATTGCTGTTGGCAATAAATTTGGCTTCCGTTTCACACGTTTCGTTTGATTTAATATTATGTAATATATTTATTTTCTTTCGATTTTACCATCACCATTTTCATCTATCACGAACAACAGCTCAAAGTGAAACTGGAAAGGAACAATGACAAACCTGTGACAGTTTTTAACTTTTTATGTAAGAAAATAAAACGTGGGCCCCGGATAAGCAGGAATCAAACACGTGGTAGGTGGTGAGAGGTTACGTACACAGATAGCGACACGATAGTATCCACGTGGAGTGTGGGGTCTTGATTTGATGCGTTTTGACGTCATCCAAACTCGATACACACAAGCCCAAGCTCCCCAATCCCATAAAAAATCCACATGGATTTTTGTTTTCTTTTAATGTGATTAATCGAACTGGACATTTTGTTATCCTCACTTGATCTTTTTCATTCGTGTCTGTTTGGCAAATACACTCATTTATTTATTGACACTTATTGTTTATTTATTTATTTATTTTTTATATCTGCACCAAGTGAACAGTTATGCTTCGTTCTCATTCATTATCCCATGCTTCATTTTTTATGAATATAAAATTTATGTATTCTAAATTCAACATAACTTTACTCCATTACATCATTTAGTCAAATGAAACAATCTGTAATTTCGAGGGTTGAATATACTTTTGAAATAATGGAAGGATAATAATGAAACCGCAGATTATATATATATATATATTGTGTTTCTATCCCATATTATGATATTGTGCATATAAGTATACCACATATATATGTATAGAGAAAAACTACTCCGTTCTGATTGTCTCCTTAAACTTAATATTATAAAGATCGAATTTCATTTTAACTCTCTCTAAGACTAACATATTAGTATTGTATATAATATAGCTTCTGCTTCTACTTGCGATTTTCACTTTTCAAAGGAACAATAAACAAAATCGGGAGAAATGCAAAGAAAATGAACCTCAAATTCACATGAAATTCAAAACGTGGGACCGGGCCTCCAAACAAAAGAAAATTCTATATATACACGTCCAATCCTCTCCCTGACGCTTATGTCCAAGCCTCCAATGGCCGTGGATTTCTAATTTCGGCAAGCTCGCCGGCATATCCCCATTCTGCCACCGGCCATGGCCAAGGGTCGCAAATTGACTATAAGCCAAAGCGAACGCTTCTTGGGAAGCTACGCCAACTCTTACGCCCAGGGGTTCAACGCCTCAGACGGATCCGAGCTCGGAGAAGCCGACGTCTGGTCAGCGGCTGATGACGCCGGCGAGAGCGCAGCGAACGCTCCTCCCAGAGACTGGGAACCACGGGTAGCCTCAGAGAATAACGGGAGCAGCTCCATGAGAAGCAGGCGTGGGATCCTATCCCGTCACTTCGGCGGTTTGTCTCTATCGTTTGAAGACTCGACGGAGGAGGATAATGCGACGACGTCGTCGATGATTGTGCATCAATATCGGGGGAATGACAGCGTGGCATCGCAGCACGGCCACCACATGGCGACGTCGGCGCCGGTGAACGTCCCGGATTGGAGTAAGATACTGCGAGTCAATTCGGTGGAGTCCATGCAAGGGGCGGACGACATTTCCGATGATGAGAACGAATCCGAGATGGTCCCACCACACGAGTACTTGGCTCGTGAGTACGCACGGAGCCGGAAGACGGCGGCAAACTCGGTGTTCGAGGGAGTCGGACGAACGTTGAAGGGGCGGGACTTGAGGCGGGTTCGTGATGCAGTGTGGAGTCAAACCGGGTTCGATGGCTAGCGATGGACTGTTCAGACCGTTTGGAGGTAGTTAACTTATGTGTTAGTCAAATTCAGTGATTTGAGTCAGAAATAGTTTTTTTTCCCCCTTCCCTTTTTGGCCTTCTTCTCCTTCTTCTTCCTTTTTTGGCCTTCTGCGTGGGTGAGTTTTGTGGGCAATGATTGAGCTGAGTTGACTCAGTTGAATCAAACTCAGCATCGACTGAGCCTGAATTCATAAACTGGAAATGGCAATTGTATTATTCTCATTAATTAAAAAGTGTATTCCAATTGGCGTGAGTTAAGTTTCTTTTTTATTTATGGTTATTTTTTTATTGTAATATGAAGCAGGAAATAGATATTGGTTTCATGGTTTAGTGTTTGATATTTGTTATTTTCAACTCCTTATTATGTTAAGGTGGTGGATGACTAGAGTAATTTTTATCTATCTACAAATTATTTGTGTATCATCTTGATATACAAACTCTTATTATAAAACCCTTATTATAAAATATAAGAAAAATAATAATAAAATTTATTTAAATTATATAAATGACATTTTGATTCTTTAAAATGTCATAATTCTTTTAAAATTTTTAAGTATTTCTCTGTCATTAAAAAATTTATATAAATAATCAAATTACTCTTAATTCAAATATCAATTATCATTTATAAGTTTTGTTTTAAGATTCATTATTTTTCTTTTTAAAATTATAAAAATTCAATTACAATTTAAAAATTTATATTTGAAATCTTGATATTACTCAAGTGTTGTAAATATTAATTATTATTCATAAATTTTAATTTAAAATTTATAGCTTTCTTTTTATCATCATAAAAATTCAATAACAATTCGCAAATTTAAATTAAAGACAAGTTGGCCATTTATATTTATTTCTTAATAACAAAAAAGTCTCTAGATATTTTAAAAAAATTATAACATTTTAAAATATTAAAATATTATTTATATAATTTAAAAATATTTTATTACTATTTTTTCTTTTTTATAAGTAAAATATTTGTTATTTTTATTTGCATGCGCGCTGTGCCCGAGCATGCGACTGTCTCTTTTGTCAAGGGTAAAATTATTTATATATATATATATATATACGGATCTATTTAGCCGCTTTTCTTTTTGGCCAATAATGCATTGGCTATTAAAATTTATAACATGTCCTATTCACAACTTACAGGTCATTATCCGTACATTTTATTCCGCAAACGCATGCAAGACAATGTATTAAATTCCCCACCCAATTTGTAACTAAACGATTAGATTTTAGATATAATGGTTTTTTTAAAAAAGTAATTGTTTCGTGCTCACTGAGATATTATTAAAATTTTGATATTCTTTGTTTTCTACAGTTTTTTTTAAAATTTTAATACTATCTCATATTATAAGGGGCCCTTTTTTATCACTTATTTTTTTAAAAAAATATTTTGCGATTTTTTACAATTTTTTAAAATAATTATAACTAAAAAACAGATTTTTTGATTATTTGAAAAAGCTACTTAAAGTAGCTTCTGCAAATATCATAAAATAACAAATCAAACATAAAATAGAATAACTAACTAATAAAATAGAATAATAAAATAATAAAATAGATATAAAGGAAGACATTATAAAATTTAAAAATAATTAATTAATAATTATTTTTTATTATTGTAATCAAACATAAAATAATTAATGTCTGCTTTTTATAAAATATCTATAAAATACTCCCTCCATTCAAAAATATAAGGTATTTTTAACCGAATCTCACTCTTAATAAAATAGTTACATACTTTTTAACTAAACCTATCTTTTTATATTTATCCCTATTAAACACCCTATAATAAATATTAAGTCATTATCAATAAGAGTACTTTTCGAAAAAAGGCAATGATTACACTCAGAAAAACTAAAAATATTTTATATTTTTTAACATTTAATTCCTCAAAAAATGCTTTATATTTTTTAAGGAAAGGAGTAAATCTTTCTTTATAAAATATCTAAACTATATAAAAATTACTTATTTTTAAACCTTAAATAAATGAGCTCAAAATTGAACAATTTCAACAAATATTATCAATTTGGGATTTAAAGCATAATATAATCAGATGATATCTGACTTTTCAAAAGTTTATACTTTCTTCTCAACGTAATCATAATAAATCATTTCAAATCACCCCTTCCGAAAAATATATTTATGTGCATGAATTATATGAATAAAAATAGAAAATTATTATGGGAGAAATGAAATCAAAGGGGTGATAAAGATTGATAGAGACAAATATAAAAGAAATAAAGGATTGAAAGCTCTTAGTTTGGGTGGTTGGCATGGAAGTGATGAGAATCGCATCAATTATCCTTGCTTGGTTGCTCATGGCACTGCAGTTACCAATGAATAAAGATACACACAGAGTTCGTGAATTAAAGAAAAATAAAATAATTTAATCATTTATTTTCCGTAATTTTAACTCAATTAGATCTCTATAATTTTGGTTACAATTAACTCCTTATAATTTTAGTTATTTAAAACATTATAATGTAGAGACCAATATTTTAAATTAGTAGAACTATAGGAGTTGAGTTGTAAAAATAAAGATTTACAAATTGAGTTTTAATTGAATCAAAGGTTGGTGATTAAATTATAACATGTTAAAATTATAGAGGTGAAATGACTAATTTTTTTATAATAATTAGTAATAGAGTGGTTGAGTCGTGGAAGTTAAAGATTCCATTGAAATAATGAAAGTATTTTGTTGTAACAAAACTTTTGACTTTGTTGATGAGTGAAGGAATGAATAAATGGAAGATCTGATTTGTTTCTAGTGTGGTTGACATACGGACTCATCCATCTAGTGGACGAGAAGCTCTCTCAGATATACCTTTAACAACAGTTTTAATTTTGATTTCCTTACTTCTATACTTTGACATATAGTTTTAATTTTCTAAGATCTATTGTTTTCATGTTCATCTTAGGAATAAGATTAAAAAATAAGTTATTTTTAAATAATTTAGAGATTTTAATAAAAAAATACTCTTCCATTTAAAAATATAAGGTATTTTTTAAGGAGTTAGATGTTCCAAAATGTGAGGCATTTTTAATCTTTTAAAATGTAATTATTGCTTCTTTTTTTAAAAGTATCCTTATTAATAGTGATTTTATATTTATTATAGAGTGTTTAATAAGAATAAATATAAAAAATATGGTTAGTTTGAAAATAAGTAATTACTTTATTGAGAAATGATATTTAATTAAAAATATTTTATATTTTTAAATGAAGGAAGTAGTATTTATTTTGTAGGTATTTTATTTTTTTGGTCAAATTTTGTAGACATTTATAAGAATCAAACAAGTATACTGATTTATGTACTTTCAGGTATTTGGCAATGATTTTCGAGCCACCGGGGTAGAAATATTATGTATTCTTATATTACCCGAGGCTTTCCGTGGACCATGGCCATGTATTAAAACAATGCAAATATTTATGAAGGCGTCACAAAAATTTAAAATAAATAAATAATAAATCAATTTTATGTTATTTAAAATATTGTCAACAATAATTTAATCTGTGAGTTCACGTTCCTTTTCAGTTTTGAGAGTTCAACTAATTTTTATGAAATTCCACAAGGGTGAGAAAAATCCAATAAACAAGCCAATCCCTTTAATTTCCATTTATCATTATTTTAATAACATGAATGCATAATCTCTTGACAGCAGAATTATATATGAAACCAATTAATATTAAAAATGTTAAGGATTTTTCTATACTTGAAGGACTAGTAGCGATTGCTTAACTTGATGATGATTCTTTGATTCTTCATATTGTCTGGTAAATTGAAAATTTGTGTCCTTAAATTCCAAATTGAGTGGACAAAAACACAGTGAGGTCCACATTCCAGTGAGGGACACAATGCTTTTAATGGAATAACAGAACGCTGGTGGCGTGGAATTGACAATATTATTTCTCTAATTTTCAATATCAATATTAATATAGAATAAAAAATTTTCAGGGATTCCTACTTTTTACAGTTCTTAAATAATACAATTTTCAGAAAATTAATCATTACATCCATATATTTTAAATCGATTATAAGTTTATAATTTAATCATTGAAATTTAACTTGTACAGCTCATTACAAGTTTTGCATGGAAAAAAAAAAATCTATTATTTCAATTTTTCATACAAAGTACATTTCATGGGTTTTTTTTTGTCTAAATTTAAAACCCTATGCATTTTTCATGTGATATTCATATAAAAAATAAGATCAACAGGCATTAGTTCTAATGAAGTGTGCTATGGTTATTTAAGCACAATGTCTTGAGTTTTGGTTTATATAAATATGGAAAATGCCTTTTGAAAGAACTACCCTCAATTGAACTTTATAACGTTTGAATTTAACCCAATCAAATAACCATATTTAAATAACGATCAAATTGTATGGAAGAAATATTTTTTTCTATAAAATCTTAAGTTTGAATTTTTGGTATAATCATATTTTTTATGATAAATTTTGTTCAAATTGAAACAGATAAGTAGGCCAACAACAGGAGTAGGGAAACATTGAAAGGCTTAAAAAATGGGCAATGGGGGAACCTTTTTCATGAAAATGACAATAACTCTTTTATGCGTTGGACTCACATGCCCAAGTTGCCTTCCCTCCATTGATTTCTCTCCTAACAACTTTAGTAGATACACTTGTGCTACACTCGTCACAATCATCTCCTCCAAAACAATTAAATGAAAAATACAGTCAATACATTATTATTATTTTTTAATACGTGCCAACAGATAATCTCGTAGAGAGAAGTTAAGTCAAATATCGACTAATAAGGATTCGACACCCTGGGGATTAGTTATCAAAAATTAAAACATCAAGATTGTTATTTGAAACTTGATGAACAAATCAATTTGCACATTTGTTGGATTATGTAAATATATGGTTGAAAGTGGTCATCTAATCCTTTATGGATAGGCATCTAATATTCTTTATAGTTTTATTGAGAATGGTTAAGGTTAAGGTCATGCAGAATAAACATTAAAGGCTCAAGAGAGTCAGAATAAATATTTACATTGGAGAACTTAAGGTTGAGACCCTTGAGAATGCCTAAAAGTTTAGTGGCAGCATCGGGATGATAACTAAGGTATTTGATCAAAACTTTTATCCAATTACATTGGTCATTGCAAATGAGACTATAGGTCAATTGGTGAAGACTGAGTCATTAATGTCCAACCTAACCTAGCCAAGTTTGAGTGAAATCCATTTAGCTAGAGATATGTTATGATTCAAATGTATGTTTCCA